CTATAGGTGAAGGTTAAATAAGTAGTTTATTAACGTATCAGACCGCTTCCAGCGAAGGCGGGGTGTTCAGAATCTATGTTCCCTGTAACCGTCTGATACACTGAGGGAGACAGTGTTCTTTCTCTTTACCACTTTCCACTTCTTCTGGACTTATATAAGCACTGCAACATCTGGAATAAACACTGGGTAACACCAACTGTCTGTTCTATTATACTGAGTTCTGCTTAAGTGTCCAGTGAATATCGAATAAATTCTTTAATGCATCCTCACTCCTCAACGTCGTCCTACACGTCGGACACGACGGATTCCGCCTTAACAGCCTCGCGAGGCATAGAAAACAGAACAGGTGGCCACATGTGGTCGTCTGGGGATCCTCCGGTTCCATCAGACATATTGCACACTTGTAGTGCGCCATCACTCTGAAGTTGCGCACGTCGTCTTCCGTCCATCCAGCCGGGCATTGCGGACCCGCCGACTTCACCTCCGCCGAAGATTCCTCCGGCGACGTCACCCGTTGACTCCATACTCGACGTGCCGTGAAGGCCGGCGTCTCGCCTTCTCGAGGCCGAACCGCCAACACCGGCTGCTCGACCGGCCGTCCCTCCTCCGTCTCAGCAATGGGGCGATCCCCCCAGAAAAATGACTCCTCCCGGCCGCCTTCAGCCTGCACCTCCCGAACGTCTTCAGCTTGTACCAACCGAACGTCTTAAGCCTCCTGGACTCCTCGGACTTCCGGCACTTCCGGCACCATCGGTGGCATGTCCCTCGGACTGGGACACGCCGCCCGCAAATGCCCCGTTCCGCCACATCGGAAACAGGTACGTGCAGGGCAATTCCTCTCAAAGTGCCTCGTTACATCCCCTGCACGGCCGTCTTCTCGCACTGCACACCGACGACCCCGTCTCGTACCTGTCATCTAGAAAATCGGCGCACACACTCATGATCGACTGACAGTCGATCCCAGTCGACCCATTGGGATCATCAGCCCAATCGTCGTCAACTCGAAAATGATCTTCCAAGGCCTTTGGAAGGAGAAAATCGGATGGGACGAGCCCCTCCAGGGAAATTTCATCGGAGAATACGACGCTTTCTCCAAATCGTTCAGCCGGGCTTGCCGATGGGAGATACCACGCTTACTCGACGCTTCAGAAGAGGCCCCGAGCAGGAGAGAACTGTTCATCTCCTCGGACGCCAGCCTACAGGCTTACGGTGTGGTGGCATAAATCAGAGAACATGGCGCCAAACAGACACCTACGCTATCATTCGTCTTGGCGAAGTCGAAAGTCGCCCCGATCAAGGCAACCACTATGCACCGACTGGAGCTTCTGGGAGCACTCTTGGCCGCCAGAATGACAAACGAGATCTCCGAGTGGATTGATCTCAGGATCGACGCCATATACATGTTTTGCGACAATCCCGAGCGGTGGAAACTCCTTGTAGCCAATAGGATCATGAAGATTCATGAGCTGGTGGGCGAGGCCAAATGGCATTATGTCCGCTCGCCCGGAAATCCGGCGGACATTCTGTCTAGGGGCGCCGATGTCTCTAAAACTCCAACTTCTGACCTGTGGTTCCACGGGCCACAGTGGCTACGGCTCAACGACGCCGACTTGAAAACGAAATTGAAACACGAGCTCTCATTCCTCGACCGAACCGCCCTCGCCAGTCGACCGGAAATCCAACACGAGCAAAAAAAAGCGTAACCTCTTTTCTCGTCGCACATTCGGGGAATGGCATCGAGAAAACGAAAATATTCTTCGAAGACAGTTTCTCCTGTTGGCTCAAGGCGATTCGTTTTCGGGCTTTCATGCTGCGTCTCAGAACAAAAGCCCAATCGGCGAAATCGAGGATACAGATGAAAAGTCGTTGCACGGCCAGGCCGAAGACACAAATGGATTTGATCGGCCCGGGTGAGATGATCAGGGCTAGGCTGGAGTTAGTCGAATTCATCGAGAAATCGTATTACCAGATAGAAGTGGATCCCGCGTGCGCTGAGGTCAAACCCAAAAATCCTCTCTCCCAATACAGCCACTTCATAAATGAGGAGGGACTACTGTGTTCGAGATCACGCTTACAACGCTCAACCGAATTCTCAGAAGCACAAAAAAACATTATACTACCCGCCGATTGCAACCTTTCCAAACTCATCATTCGATACATCCACCAAAGAAAATGTTTTCATTTCGGGGGAGTCGCAGCAGCACTCCACATTCTAAGGGAGGAGTTCCTAATTAAACATGCGAGAAAGCTTAGGAGACAAGTAATCTCCACATGCGCAACTTGCAAATTATGCAGCTGCCAGGCAGCCTCCCTCCCCACCGCCCAATTACCAGCCTTTCGATTGGAGACAACGCCGGCGTGACCCGAGCTGTGAACCTGCAGCTGACAACCGACATGTCCACAGTGGAGGTCTTGGGTGCGTTACAGAAAGTCAAGCGCTACCCATCCGTCACTACAATCACTTCAGACAACGGTCTCTCGTTCCATAGAGCAGCGAAAGAGCTTAAGGTGCTGTACGGTCATATCTGGCAGACTGGCAGACTCCTTCATCAAATGGGAATTTAGCACCCCCAATGCACCGTGGTTTGGCGGGTTCTATGACCCCTGAGAAAAGTTCTCGGCTCAGCAGCTCCACATTCCCGAGACCTGGAAGTCATCCTAAGTAACATCGAGGCGATGATAAACATGCGACCAATCACCACCGTAGCTGCGGAGGTTGATCAGATCGAAGCTTTGAGCCCGGCGGACTCACTCTACGGCTACAAGAGTAAAACTTTCTTCCCGGAACACACACTCAAAGCGTCGAAAAGAATCGACGCAGACAAAATTACCTTCTCCAGGAGATGGGTCTATCAACAGAAAGTCCTGAACAACTTCTGGAAATGGTTCCATAAAGAGTACCTCAGATACCTGCGTTCTGCCCACTCCAGGAAACCTCCACCGACCAGACCGCTGAGAGTCGGAGACATCTGTCTATCAGAAGATCACAATCCGAGCCGAGCCTACTGGCCACTTTGCAGGGTCGTAGCCCTCAAAGGAGATGCGAAACCGGAGCACGCAAGATCATGCACGATCAAGACAGCAACAGGCCAGATCCTCGATCGGCCCAAACGAAATTTATATCCCATTGAGAGCCCGAAGCCCAACTAAGCAACGAAAGTCGCCCAGACACCAATTCTGTCCATGTTGCTTCCGAGTGGATCATCATCATCATCACGGACAGTCCTCGACTCAGGCAACCAGCGTAGGGAGACGGAAAAGTACGGATATGAATCAGTTATTTATTCATTCATACGAGACTCAGATTCTCAAATTGGACAGCTCATGGTGAGGCGAACACACCTTACTGACTGATTGATAACACAAGGTTTGAACGTGTCGAGATCTGGTGGAGAGCGCTGCGCAAGAATATTGCCTGGAGAATCCCGGTTTGAACGGGAATCTTCTGGAGATGGTATATTGGGACGACCGCCACGGGAAAACTGAATGAGTACTGGGGATTCGAACCCCTGAACAAGACTTCACGAGGAGCCCTGATGCCACCTCGTGATCGTGATTCTCGATGATGATTGATTGTCTCTTTTCTCCGCCGCTGTCGCCACTGTGGCAACCACAGTGTTTTCAACCGGAGGGCCCCCGAATGACGCGGACGAAATGACGCGACGAAAATGCAGCGACGAAAATGACGCGAGCCGAAAATGACGCGGGCAAAAATGACGCGGGTAAAATGACGCGAACCCAAAATGACGCGGGGGAAAATGACGCAGACCCAAGATGACGCGGAATAGCCGGAGCGCAGGAACAGCTGAGACAGGCGAGCGAAGCGAGCATACGAGGAAGCGATTCGATAACGCATCGGAAGCTACTGTTCCTGCAGATATGACGTGGGGTTGCTGGACTGCGGTACTTCTGATCCTGATCTCCAAGAGAATCGAGTCTTATCATCTAAAACTGATTCGCTGTTGTCTCGCAATTTCGAAGCACGAGATTCTGAGATTATTTCTGGCAGAGAATGCTATCGCTATTTATTCGTCGATTCTGCCATCGATGTAGATCAAAGAGACGAGTTTGGAGGATCATTCAGGAAGTTGCGACACTAGCTGGAGATAAGAGACTTCGCGCTCCACATCCATCGCTTTGAAGGAGCTCAGTAATTTTGGATGCAATCACTTCGGATCCAAACTGAATCTCGTGAGGAGCTCTGCTCGGTGATCTTCGTTCCGTGCTTTGGAAGACCTGTGACTGTTTTCGATTCCTTTCCGTCATTAAAATCAAGAGCAACAAGGGTGGCCGGATGTTCACTCACGAAGGCTACGCGTACCACTACGACAGATCTTCCGCAGACGGCAGCACCGATTTCTGGCGTTGCGAACAACGGTCGATATGCAAGGCCAGAATCCATACAAGTGGCGGAGTCATCACACAGACTCTCAATGACCATGACCATGACAGTAATGCGGCGATGATACGAGTGAAACAGGCGACGACCGCAATGAAGGACCGAGCAGCTAATACTCTCGAAACTACGTCGGAAGTTCTTCATGCTGGACTGGAGTCTTTGCCGCAAGAGGTGCTCGGCGTGATGCCCGGACAAAGAGCCTTGAAGAAGAGTATGCAGAGCGTTCGGAAGAAGATGGTACAGCCCCCCAGTACAATCTTCTTTGAATGAACTGGTTTTCCCTCACGATTACACTATTTCCAAAGTTTCATCGGATGTAGCCGAAGAGAAGTTTCTGCTTGCGGATAGCGGACCGAGTCCGAAACGAATTGTCATCTTCGGCCGGGAAAAAGTCGTGGAAAGATTCCGGAGTAGCCAGAGCTGGTTCATGGATGGGACTTTTTCGATCACGCCCCCGTTATTTTATCAAGTTTACGACATTTTAGCAGACCACTTTGGGGCAGCTCATCCGATGTTTTATGCACTTCTGCCCGACAAAAGCGAGAACACCTGCGTCAGAATGTTCCAGATGATAAGACAGATCGATGAGAGTATCGAACCGAGCACCGTTCATCGCGATTTCGAATCAGCCGCGATGAATGTTCTCCGGGAAGTTTTCCCGCAGGCCAAGGTTGCGGGGTGTTATTTTCTCCTCCTGCAAAACTTGAGGAATCAAGTGGCCTCGCATCTGCCAGCTGGGAGGCGATTAAGAGCTCCATCAACAACTTAGCTATCTCAGACTATCTGAAGAGAATCCTCATGGACTACCTACGGCAGTGGTTCCCAACCTTTTTTTCTCGTGGAACCCCTAGGGGCTCAACAGCGGTTCCATAGGGGTTCCACGGGTAGACTTTGGGGTTCCACGGAATCGTCGATGGAACCCAAGGGTTCCATGGAACCCCGGTTGGGAACCACTGACCTACGGGACCGGAAAATAGTCGCAGGTCGCACAGAGTGCGGGATGACGGCGGGGGTACCGCAGGGATCAGTGCTCGGGCCCACCCTATGGGATATCATGTTTAACGAGCTCTTCCAGGTAAACCTCTCGAAGGGCTCAGAACTCATAGGATACGCTGACGACATCGCCCTAAGAATTACAGGGGAAGACGAACGCATAGTGGAATACAGGGCAAACTACGACCTGGCGCGGGTTAGCCGGTGGCTGGGACGGAGGTCCCTGGAACTTGCCCCGAGTAAATCCGAAGCATTACGTTTCACGAAAAGAACTAAACTAAAACCGATCACCATTAAGATCAACGGCCAAATAATCGACATTAAGAGCACAGTCAAATACCTAGGCATCCACATAGACAAAAGACTAACATTCAGACACCACCTACTAAAAGCTGCAGGAAAGGCCAAGATATCCTCGAAGAAACTCAATAGGATCCTCCCACGCACCTACGGGGCCGACGAGTGCAAGAGACAGACGCTGGCCTCAGTGTCCTAGTCCATCTTCTGTCACGCGCATGTTTGGGGCCGGAAACTCGAACAGAAGCAGCATCAGAAAATAGCAGCATCGTTGCAAAGGGTGGCGGCCGTCCGGGTCTGCCGAGCATACAGTACCGTCTCCGGGGAAGCCCTCATGGTGGTTTCCAGATCGATACCCTGGGACATACGCATCCGGGTGATACAAGAAATAAGAACTGGCCGACAGACATCCGCATCGGAGGACACAGATGGGGATACGAGCGGGCTCACACCAGAGGACGCAAGCGGGGCAGACCTCGAAACGAGGTGCCTAGAGCTCTGGCAAAATAGACGGGAACAGAATACACAGAAAGGACAATGGACAAAAACACTCATTCCAGACATAAAGACATGGTACCGCAGGAAACATGGTGAACTATCGTACCATCTAACACAATTCATCACCGGACACGGGACCTTCAACGACTATCTGCACAAAATTAGGATCAAAATCAGCCCTGTGATGAATATTGTCCATTTCACCTTCCGCTCTAAATACTGAAGACCTCAGTCCGTGACGGTCACTGACCGGTCACCACTTAACCCGTTCACAGTGTTTTCAGCATGACCCATATTCGGATGCCTGACTGGCTCTAGTATTCCGTGTGATCATTCTAGCCGAGGTATAAACGAGATACGTATATCTCTTCACCGTTATCAGCACGAGTTGCTCAGAAAGATAAGTGATACCGTGAACCGGAGTGAAGTGTCCATCCACAATGTCCAATCCTTCGACTTCGAGAGAAAACCCCCTCTACGGCTACGTCCAAGTTGGCGAGGACGACGACGGCGGAAACACCCCGGTGTTTCACACCTACTACATGCGGTCCTCGCCCCAGAGTGGTTAGCAGCATTATCCTGGCTGCCGACGGGAAGAACTACATCGCCTGGAAGACCATCATCCCATCGGTTCTCGACGGCGAACCTTTTGCCTGGGATGTCACCCGAGGACGCCTCAACCCACCGGATCCAGAGAAAGCGAAGACGAAGGAAGGCAAGAAACAGAAACAGGAATTCACCATCGGAAATCGAGCCGCACGATACATCCTGATCAACTCAATCCACCCCGACCTGGCTGTGACGTTGATCTTGGACAACGCAGAGGACATTGGAGCCCAGGAGATTTGGAGAAGAATCCGGATTAGATCCCAACAATCAGACGGCACCAAGAAGAACCTGTCCGTCGCCAAGTTCCTGCGCTACAGATACCAGCCCGGATCGACTGTGTCTGATGTCGACGGTGATGATCAGACCACTTCCCGTCTGCTTGAATCTCTGCCAGCGTCCTGGGAACCCTTCAGGCAAGCTTGGAGTGCCCGTACCGTCAAGGACAAACAACTGGATATCCTGACGGCTTCCATCCAGGCTGAGGCAGTAAGACGCGGTGCCAATGACAGTCAAGCAACCGCTATGTTCTCCCGACTCAACATCAACCGCAACAGCCCTCGACGAAACTACCAACGGAGTTTCTCGCGACGTAGAACGACGTCTTCACAATCATCAGAAGTCGTGTGCTACAATTGCAGCCGGAAGGGCCACATGCAGGCCCAGTGCAGAAACCCACGCCGGAACAACAACAACAACAACAGAAATCGGAATCGCAACAACAACAACCGCGGAAGAAACCAGCCCCAACGACAGAATCAGCCGCAAGCCAACTTCTCTGAAGCCCTCAATGTGGAAGTGGCTGAGGTGAACTTCAACGACTTAGGTGAGGAATTCCTAGTTGATAGCGGAACGACCCATCACATGTGTTCAAGTCGTAGATGGATGGTCGACTAT